CTGGATTACAGGCATGAGCTACCACCCTGAGCCCCTAAAATACAACTTTTTAAATCATATCAGAGATCAGATTAAAAACTTTGTTAGTCTGTATTAAGAAATTGTGCTTTTAAGACTATTAATCAAAAGTTTATTGGTATAATATATATATAAAAAATAAGGGTTATGGTCTTGCATATGGTTAATTCAGTTGACCCAAACTATATTTGGTCCTTCAGGAAAACATGATCCTAACAAAAAAGGAGAAAGCTAATACAGACAATGATTTTAAAAAAGATTTTCACCTGTTTATTCTCTCTACCTTTAGAGACTTACCAAGTCTAAAACTAGGGAGAATTCCGGTGTGCTTCTTGTTTTCAACGGAAGAGCAGGTTTTCTATTTAGTTGTTCTTCTGTCAGTGGTGGGACATGTTTGATGAAATAATAGCTATAAATCAGATTTTTAAAAAATTTCAACATTTTACTTTTTATAAATATAAAACATTACTAAGCTCAGCCCATTTAAAAAGTCTATAAAGCAGTTAATCCAGAAAACAAAACTTATAAAATGTTAATAAAAGTGAAAATAAAGAAATTAGTATCTCTATAAATCAGTCTCACTCTATCACAGCTTACTCTAACCTCTGCCTCTTGGGCTCAAGTGATCCTCCCCAATAGCTGGGACTACAGGTGTGTGTCACTGTGCCCAGCCAATTTTTGTATTTTTTATAGAGACAGGTTTTGCCATGTTGCCCAGGCTGGTCTTGAACTCCAGGGCTCAAACAATCTGCCTGCCTGGGTCTCTCAAAGTGCTGGGATAAGCCACCGCACCCAGCCCCAGTAAAAGTTGTAATACCTACAGGTTATATATCTTGGCAATATACTATTTAGCCACCAATCCACATATATAACGAACTTTCATTATGCTCGAAAAAGAAAGGGGGGAGAGGTGCATGGGTAGGGGGGTAGGGAGGAGGGAGGGGAGGGAAGAAATGAAGGAAGGAAAGGAGGAAAGGAGGAATGGAAGGGAAGGAAGGGAAGGAAACAAACAAACAACTCACGGGTCAAATACTTCCCAGTCTTCTTCATAGGTAGCCTCTGCATGGGCTGATGAATAACCACTATCTGGAGTTACTGGCGCTGTTTAACACAGTGAAAGACAAAATGTTGTTTTTACTTAATGCTTCATGAAATACACATTTTTACTGCTCCTATGTAAGATCTTCCCGAAGCCCTGTAATACACATTTTTACTGCTTCTATATAAGATCTTCCTGAAACACTGTGTATTTTAGATTAAAGACAGAAATAATTTGTAAACAACACATAAAAGCAAATTTATTAACATATAGATCTAACTTTAGATCTAAAGGGGAAAATGACCAATACAGACAAAATGGCAAATTAGATCATAGCTAGAATTAAGATGCTTATCAGCTAAGAGAAAATGTACTACTTGGCCGGGCGCGGTGGCTCATGCCTGTAATACAAGCACTTTGGAGGCCAAGGCGGGCGGATCACCTGAGGTTGGGAGTTCAAGACCAGCCTGACCAACATGGTGAAACCCTGCCTTTATTAAAAAAATAAATAAATAAAATAAAAATAAATTAAAAAAAGAGAAAATGTACTACTTATTAATAGAAAAACATACTCTAAAAAAAAAAAGAATCTCTTAATTGTACGACGTTTACATGTAATCACCAAAAAAAATTTCACGGTGCTCTTATAGGGGTAATAGTTCAAAAAGTGCCTGTATACACAGGCAGTCAGTAAATGTATCCTGACATTAGACCCAAATGTTTTTTTTTTGAGACGGAGTCTCATTCTGTTGCCCAGGCTGGAGTGCAATGGCACAACTCAACTCATTGCAACCTCTGCTTCCCAGGTTCAAATGATTCTCCTGCCTCAGCCTTATGAGTAGCTGGGATTACAGGTGCGCACCATCATGCCTGGCTAAGTTTTTTATTTTTAGTAGAGATGAGGTTTCAGCACGTTGGTCAGGCTGGTCTCGAACTCCTGACCTCGTGATCTGCCTGCCTTGGCCTCTCAAAGTGCTGGGATTAAAGGTGTGAGTCACCGAGCCTGGCCCAAATGTAGTTTTTAAACCTGAGATCCACAAACAGTCTTTAAAAGGTTCATGAACCCTTTGAAGACTTATTTTAAAAAAATTGTATGTACATGTTTCCAGGAATCTCAAGACTACAATCTCAAAAAGTTAAGACATGTGGCCAGGCACATTGGCTCACGCCTGCAATCCCAGCACTTTTGGAGATCGAAGTGGGCGGATTACCTGAGGTCAGGAGTTTGAGAGCAGCCTGACCAACACGGAGAAACTCCGTCTCTACTAAAAATACAAAATTTGCCAGGCGTGGCGGCGCATGCCTGTAATCCCAGCTACTCAGGAGGTTAAGGCGGAAGAATTGCTTGAACCTGGAAAGCGGAGGTTGCAATGAACCAAGATCGCACCATTGCACTCCAGCCTGGGCAACAAGAGCAAAACTCCATCTCAAAAAATGTATATAAAAATAAATTAAGAAATGCTATTCTATGCATAAACTGTTCTTTATTTTCATTTTTTTTGAGATGGAGTCTTCCTCTGTCGTATAGGCTGGAGTGCAGCTGCACGATCTCAGCTCACTGCAACCTCCACCTCTGGGGTTCAAGTGATTCTCCTGACTCAGCCTCCCAAGTAGCTGGGATTACGGGTGCCTGCCACCACGCCTGGCTAATTTTTTTGTATTTTTAGTAGAGAAGGGGTTTCAGCATGTTGTCCAGGCTGGTCTTGAACTCCTTACCTCAGGTGATCCACTCACCTAGGCCTCCCAAAGTACAGGGATAACAGGCATGAGCTACCTCGCCCAGCCAGAAATTGTTCTTTTAGTCAGTCTGTCTTTTTTTTTTTGATACAGGGTCCTGTTCTGTTACCCAGGCTGGAGTGCCATGGAGCAAACACTGTGGTCTTGACCTGGGCTCAGGCAATCCTCCTACCTCAGCTTCCCAAGTAGGTGGCACTACAGGCGTACCACCACACCTGGATAATTAAAGAAACTTTTTTTTGTAGAGACAAAAAAGGGTCTCATTATGCTGCCCAGGCTGGTCTCAAACTCCTGAGCTCAAGAGATCCTCCCTTCTAAGCCTCCTTAAGTGCTGGTGAGCCATCGTGCCTGATCAAAATCACTGCTTTATAAGACATACTATTTTACTTCTAATTTATAAACAACTTAAAAATGATCCAGAAGTAATTCTATATTGCTTGCCATAGTTCATTCCCAGGTTGAGCTAAGATCATATCATTTGATAGAGCTTTAGAAATTACACTGGGAATTTTCTAAGACAATTAAGTACAACTTAAATTTAAGGAGAAGACAAAGGTAACTTATAAGCCAAATAGGTAATGTCTCAGATATAAAAATTTAAAGTAGAACCCAATTAAAATTTCTGTGATGTTTCTATAGAAATGAAATGGTAGAGAAGTCTTTCACAGAATTTTTGTGCATCTCTGGCAATACTATGCTTCTAATAATTAGCACAAGAAAATGTATCTTCCAACAACTTACTGTTTCAAGTTCCTATTAACCTCAGATGAATGAAACAAAATTTATTTTTATTTACTTTATTATTATTTTTCAAGACAAGTCTCACTTTGTCGCCCAGGCTGGAGTGTAGTGGCATGAATACAGCTCACTGCAGCCTTGACCTCCCAGGTCAAGCAATTCTCCTACCTCAGTCCTTCAGGTACCTAGGACTATAGGTGTATGAGCCATGATGGCCAGCTAATTTTATACATATATATTTTTTTGTAGATACAGGGTTTCACCATATTGCCCAGGATAGTCTCAAACTCCTGAGCTCAAGTGATCTGCCCACCTCGGCCTCCCAAAGTGCTGGGATTATAGGCATGAGCCATGGTGCCCAGCCAAGATTATTTGTTAAATGCTTATATGTTAAGTATTTTGCATATTTTATGTCATTTAGCCTGCAAAACCTTATATTATAATAGCCATGTTAAAGCTGAGAAACCTGTATTTGAAACTGTCTCAAGGGCTTAAATAAGTCATCCAAAGTAACAAAGCCACCAGCTTCCTACCTTCTTTTTCTCTTTGGCTATGTTCTCAAGGAAAAGAATATGTTTGTCACTCATATTCATCTTTTAAGATCAGTATAAATGTTACCTCTATGTTCTCATGATCATCCTAATAGAGTAACTGCAGTATGTCACACCATGTCATTTAACTCACTTCTTTGTAGCAGCACTCACCATACTGTATGGTGGTGTTTCTGTATACTTGGCTCTTCAGTTAGATAACAAACTCCTCAGAGGTCAATTCATCAACAGTTCCCATCACAGAAAAATAGGTGCTCATAAACATTGGAGGAATAAATGAATAACTGTGACAACTATAGTAAATTTTAATTTTCCCTTCTAGAAACTCCTAAGGTTACAGAAATCCTTTCTCCATCCTCACAGTTGTCAGAAAAAATATATACAAAGGCTTATATACCAGCATGAAAATATAGAACAAACATCAAACAGGAAACCAAAACTCTGAACTTTAGTCTATACTTTACTTCATTAGTCTTATACCCAATGGGCAAAGTAATAAGCATTAAATGATGGGTCAAAGGTGGGTTAATTGAAAGTATCACCCACAAAATGAACGTAATTGATTTGCTTGTTAGATTCCATATTAATATAAATTTTTTTTTTTTTTTTTTTTTTTTCCCGAGACGGAGTTTCGCTCTTGTTACCCAGGCTGGAGTGCAATGGCGCGATCTCGGCTCACCGCAACCTCCGCCTCCTGGGTTCAGGCAATTCTCCTGCCTCAGCCTCCTGAGTAGCTGGGATTACAGGCACGCACCACCATGCCCAGCTAATTTTTTGTAGTTTTAGTAGAGACGGGGTTTCACCATGTTGACCAGGATGGTCTCGATCTCTTGACCTCGTGATCCACCCGCCTCGGCCTCCCAAAGTGCTGGGATTACAGGCTTGAGCCACCGCGCCCGGCTCATATTAATATAAATTTAACATTATAGATATGAATCTTTTACTTGATGACTTTAAAATAAACCTTTCCTATTTTGCTGCTTGTTCCTTCATATTGGTATTACTGGATTGCACTATATAGAAGCTTCATAATTGTACCATATTTTCCTTAAATGTCAGTGACTTTTTTAAAAGCTTCCTTTTTATAGCTGAGAGAAGTACAGATGCACCTAGGCTTATGATGGGGCTATATCCCAATAAACCGATCATAAGTCACAAATATCATAAGTCAAAATGCATTTAACACCCTGATAAACCCACTGTAAAGTAAAAAAATTTGAAGATGAACCACTGTAACTCAGGAACCATCTGTATATTATTCTACTTCCTTAAACCAAACTATGTTTCTTTTTTTCTTTCCCAAGACTGGATCTTGCTCTGCTGCCTAGGCTGGATTGCAGTGACTCAATCATAGCTCATGGTAGTCTGGAACTCCTGGGCTCAAGCAAACCTCCTCCTCTAGCCTCCTGAGTAACTAAGACGACAGGCACACGCCACCACCCCTGTTAATTTAAAAAACAAACCATTTTTTTGGCCAGGCGAGGTGGTTCATGCGTGTAATCCTGTCACTATGGGAGGCTGAGGTGGATCATTTGAGGTTAGGAGTTCGAGGCTAGCCTGGTCAACATGATGAAACCCCGTCTCTACTAAAAGTTAAAAATAAATTAGCTGGGCGTGGTGGTACATGCCCGTAATCCCATCTACTCAGGAGGATGAGGCAGGCGAATTGCATAAACCCAGGAAGCAGAGGATGCAGTGAGTCATGATCGTGCCAGTGCACTGTCCAGCCTGAGGGACAGAGCTAGACTCCACCCTACATGGCATCTGGCTATTTTGCTCAAGATGGTCTCAAACTCTTGACTTCAAGCAATCCTCCTGTCTTGGCTTCCTAAAGTGCTGGGATTACAGGCCTGAGCCATCATGCCTGGCCCCAAATTAGGTTTCTTAACTAACATATATTTACTGGGCTCTCTCAAATACCTGGTACCACAATAAACAAACAAAAAAAAATTTAAGATGAAATCTCCATGCCCTAATAAGATGGCCTTCTTTGGTTTTATTTCTGGTTTTAAGAATGATGGAACACAATTCCATCTTTTACCTTATCTATCTACCACAATACTCAGAGGTAATAAATTCCTGATCCATGTGTTTTCACATTTCAAGGACAACTGGCTCAGAAACCCAGTAATTATGTTTGGCAGATCCAGGTCAGGCTGCAAACTTAGGTATATGAGGAGATCTAGGAACAGAAGCACCTATGGGGGGGATCTCATAGCTGTAATGAAACAAATCTGAAGGTATGAAACTGCTTCTAGGTAAAGACCTCAGACATAAGGGTCCAAGACTTGTGCAATAATAATAAGGATGTTCATGAACATGAGCATGTATTTTGTTGTGTCAAATTTCTCCAAGCAATGAGATTAGTGGAAATAATTAAACTGTGAAATGACTAATACTTGGTAAAAACCTTTAAAACAATATTCAATTTCAAAATGACTTTGGATTTTTGGGACAAAGTTTTGTTTCCAATTTTAATTTTTTTTTTAAACTTCCAGGAAGAAAAACCTATGCATATAATCTGCTTATTTAAGAAAAATATGAAATATTGTATTTTTATCAACTACTCATGAAGATGTATAAGAAATTTTCTTCACCTGTAAGGGGTGGGATATCACGATTAACTGTTTCTTCTGCTTCTTCTAAACCATTGTTTATTGATGCTCTCACTTGAACTGCTTGATTTGAGTAAGTTGCTCCATTAGCTGATGTAGTAGTACTGGTAGTGATCTCATCCACCTGTTCCATATCAAGCTGTTTTACTATTTCTTCAGCTTCCACGGCCTGTCCTGGAGAATCTGATCCTGACGTTCCTAAAATCATAATTCAGTGTACTATTATCATTTAAAAATCCAACTATTTAGAAAAACTAAATACAACATCGCTGTACAATATATTTATTTAGGCTGATAATTCCTACAGGAGCAAAGCCGAGAATGTTTTTTTAGAGAATCTTTGCTAGCCATTTCAAACAATGAGGAATGAAGGCTTACGGGATACAGTAACATTTGTGAGCAAAGTTTCTGCATCCTAGTCATGTGTGCAATTGTAATTTTTCAACCAGAGGTATCAAAAAATTAGCTAACTGTTCTAATCATGAGAAGCTTTTAATTAAACGACAGAATAATTTCTCAGCAAAACTCTATCTCAGTAACAAAGACTGGGTCAGGTGTGGTGACTCATGCCTGTAATCCCAGCACTTTGGGAGGCTGAGGCAAGCAGACTGCTTGAGCTGAGGAGACTGAGACCAGCCTAGGCAACATGACTGTCTCTACAAAAAATACAAAAACTAGCTGGGTGTGGTGGTATACACCTGTGATCCCAGCTACTCAGGAAGCTAAAGTGGGAGGATGGCTTGGGCCCAGCAGCTCAAGGCTGTAGTGACCTGTGACCATACTACTGCACTCCAGCCTGAGTGACAGAGCAAGACTCTGTCTCAATTAAAAAAGAAAAGAAAAAAAAAAAAAGATTCCAAGTCTTTCCATTTACTTCTGGAATCTTCCAAATGTCATTTTAAATAAAAATAACAAAATTAACCTCCAATATTCTCAACTTCCTTAGAGAACATCCCTTCTCCCATGTTGCTTTAAATTTAACCTCCTTCCTAAAAGGTTTTCCTGATCCTTTCCCTCAATGCTCTTTATTCTCCCATACCCAACATACTAATTGAATCAGAATTCATTTATCTCCATTGCTACTATACAATCATTGGTTTTCCACTAATGTCACATAGCTATATAATTCTTCACTTATCCTCACTGCTGGCACCTACCATCAACTGCAAGAATCCTCTCAATCACAAAGGAGTTTAATACACAGCTACCAGTTTAGTCTTCTACTTAACACAGTATTTTGTCTACTTGTTATTACAGATGATGTCAATGACTCATCCAACAACTAATCCTCAAAGTTCTTGCCCTCTTCAGCTCCAACTATCTTCATTCATACTGCTCTCTATCAGTTACTACCATGGCCATAACCTGGACATTAACACTGAGAAATTTCACCTCTGAAACCTAAAATTCTTTTTTTTTTTTTGAGACGGAGTTTCACTCATGTTACCCAGGCTGGAGTGCAATGGCGCGATCTCGGCTCACCCGCAACCTCCGCCTCCTGGGTTCAGGCAATTCTCCTGCCTCAGCCTCCTGAGTCGCTGGGATTACAGGCACGCGCCACCATGCCCAGCTAATTTTTTATAGTTTTAGTAGAGACGGGGTTTCACCGTGTTGACCAGGATGGTCTCGATCTCTTGACCTCGTGATCCACCCGCCTCGGCCTCCCAAAGTGCTGGGATTACAGGCTTGAGCCACCGCGCCCGGCTGAAACCTAAAATTCTAATACTGTATTAACTACTTACCACAACCTCCTAACCTTCAAATTATATATCTCATACTCCCATTATATGTGATCTTCAAACTTGATAAAGGCCAGTCTGTTTAATTCCAAACACATCCCTCAAACACTTCTTTACCACCCTCCTCATCTTGTTAGACTTCGTGGTGTATTACTTAAACCCACTCTCAAGCTGGCAGCCTCAGTATCCTTGATTTCTTATTCTTTCACTGTCATCCATCAAGAAATCCCTCTTGAATTAATATAACCAACAGGCTTCTCAGACCCTAGTCCCAGGCTATGGAACAAAAAATACAAGGACTGGTCATAATCCAAATAAGACAGAAAGAGAGAGAGGGGGAGACAGGGGCGTGGAGATGGGGGTGGGGGAGGGCAAGGGGGGGTGGGGGGAGGAGGAGGGAGTGAGGGAGGGAGAGGGAGGGAGGGAGGGAGGGAGAGAGAGGGAGGGAGGGAGGGAGGGAGAGAGAGATCATCTCTTATAATTATCAAACTTCAACTCCTTCTCTAAGCATCTATTTCTGTATATATCTTTACAGATTCTTCAGCATGAAAAAAAAATATTACTACCAAATATTATAATTTTTTGAGATGGAGTTCACACTGTCTTCTGGACTGGAATGCAATGGCATGATCTCAGCTCACTGCAACCGCTGACTCACTAGTTCAAGCGATTCTCCTGTCTCAGCCTCCTGACTAGCTGGGATTATAGGCATGCGCCACCAAGCCCAGCTTATTTTTGTATTTTTAGTAGTGACAAGGTTTTCACCATGTTGGCTGGGATGGCCTCGATCTCCTGACCTCATGATCCGCCCACCTCGGCCTCTCAAAGTGCTGGGATTACAAGTGTGAGCCACCATGACTGGCCCTGAATATTTTTATTTGAATATTTCATGGCATCTCAAACTCATCATGGCCCAAATTACACTCAACTATCTATCTCCCAGGGACTTTATTTTCCTTAAATCTTCTACTCTTCTGTCATGTTCTCTATTCTCTTTCACCTCCAATCTACACCAAAAATGTGTCTATTTTCTGTCCTCTGATCCTTCCTGTCTTCTCTAATACAATTAAGGTCTCATCAAGTCTCACAAGAACTATTCCAAGTCTACTAATTGTTCTACCTGCCTACAGCCTCTTCAGAATCTACCCTACACACTATTCCCCAAGTGATCTTTATAAAACATAAATCAGATCATATTATTCACCAACTTAAAACCTTTCAGGCTGCTCTGCCTATGGAGTAGCCATTCTTTATTGCTTTACTTTAAGAAACTTGCTTTCACTTTGGAAAAAAAAAACACCTTTCAATTATCACCTACTTGAATAAAGTTTATCATCTTACTAGGTTAGCTCTATAGTATGACTTCTTCATAGCTCTCCTACCTTATCCCTTCTCAAATCCACAGTTCCATCAATTATAAACTGAAGTACACTCTCAAATACACTATGCTGTTTTCTGCTGCAAGGCCTCTACTCATGCTGCTCCTACCTGGAATGCCTTTTACCACCTTTCCAGATTCAGCTTTTCTTTCAAGCCTTTTGTGAGCCACTACTCCCACCGCCCCCACCAGAGGACAGGGCCATTCCATTCTTTTTCTTTTATTTTTTTAAGAGACAGGGTCCCACTTGGCTGTCCAAGCTTGAGTGCAATGGTGTAATCATAGCTCACTGCAGCTTCAAATTCCTGGGTTCAAACTGCTGGGTTCAAGCATTCCTCCCACTTCGGCCTTTGAAGTAGCTAGGACTACAGTGCACTTGAATAATTTTTACTTTTTCTGTAGAGACAGGGCCTTACTATGTTGCCCAGGCTAGTCTCAAACTCCTGCCCTTGAGCAATTCTCCTTTCTCAGACTCCCGAAGCGTTTGGATTATGGGCATCAGTCACCACACCCAGCTCACAAGGAGCTGTATATTTTTAATGAGGTGGCAAACAAATGAGATGCTGACAAAATTCACTAATAAAATAAAAAAGTATGTATTTTAAAAAACTATGTATTTTTTTGCTGGGCGCAGTGGCTCACATCCATAATCCCAGCACTTTGGGAGGCCAAGGTGGGCAGATCACTTGAAGGTCAAGATTTTGAGACCAGCCTGGTTAACATGGTGAAACCCTGTCTCTACCAAAAATACAGAAAAAAATTATCTGGGGGTGGTGGTGGGCACCTATAGTCCCAGCCACTGGGAAGGCTGAGGGAGGAATATTGCTTGCACCTAGGAGGTGGAGGTTGCTGTGAGCGAAGATCACATCACTGCACTCCAGCCAGGGCAACAAAACGATACTTCATCTTAAAAAAAACAAAAAACAACAACAACAAAAAAACTGCATTTTAAAAAACCCAAATCACAGCTAATGGTTTATACTTACCATTTTTATTTGCTGGTGAAAAAAAGTTGAAGACAGGTGAAAATATGGTCCCCAACAAAGTAGTCCTTGGAGGACTGCCAGAGGAAGGATTATCTTCTAATTTTCCATTTTGTTTTACATGTTGATTTGTCATTTCGTAACTACCAGCTTCTAAAAAAGAAAAAAGAAAAAAGTCATGATCTAGAAAATACTGACTTTCAGAAATGTTATAAATCATTTATTGAAGTAACTCTTTTTCTCTCAAAATACTTCATGAAAGCTAATTAATGCTAATGTTCAGAAGAGCTTATTAAAGAAAGCCTGAGGTAAATTACTTCTAAGTCAAATGCTCTGTATGTGTTTCTAATGCTAACATTTAGTGAATTTTTTCAAAGTAGATTTACACCTGTAGACTGAAAGTCTTCAAATCAACACAGTATAATACAAAATGAAGAAAACTCTTTGTAAGCAAGCAAACTAGTTCCTACTATCTAAAACACAAATTATTTTATTTTTTATTTTATATTCTGGGATGGTTCTACTTCATAAAACCTTCCCTTGTTGGGTGTGGTGGCTCATGCTATAATCCCAGCACTTTGGGAGGCTGAGGCAGGTGGATTAGGAGGTTAGGAGTTCAAGACCAGCCTGGCCAATATGGTGAAACCCCGTCTCTAATAAAAATACAAAAATTAGCTGTGCATGGTGGCAGGAGCCTGTAATCTCAACTACTTAGGAGGCTAAGGCAGAGAACTGCTTGAACCTGGGAGGTGGAGATTGCAGTGGGCCAAGATCTCACCACTACACTCCAGCCTGGGCAACAGAGAGAGACTCCATCTCAAAACAGACAGACAAAAACAAACAAACAAGAAACCCAAAAACACTTCCCTCACATCTGTTTCTATATAATGAATGACAGCTAAATGAGTAGAGGCAACATAAATCTACTGAAGCAAAGACTATATACAGCAGTGTCAAAAATTACTTGTGGACACTGAGGCACCATCTCAGAGTGGCTAAGGAGAATAACGGTAAGTTTCCTGTAAATAAATATGTTCCACAGATATTTTTTATTTAATGCAAAAGTAAAATCAACTGTTCTAATTAATCATTCTTTAACTTTCCACACTTGATGTCTACCATTTATTTATTTCCTTCTTTGCTATGTTCTTTTAACTTGTTTCTTCTTCTTTTTTTTGAGATGTAGTCTTGCTCTTCTTACCCAGGCTGGAGGGTAGTGCCGTGATCTCGGCTCACTGCAAACTCTGTCTCCTGGGTTCAAGTGACTCTCCTGCCTCAGCCTCCCAAGTAGCTGGGACTACAGATGCATGCCACCACGCCAGGCTAATTTTTTCGTATTTTAGTCGAGATGGGGTTTCACCATATTAGCCAGGATGGTCTTATCTCCTGACCTCATGCTCCGCCCACCTTGGCCTCCCAAAGTACTGGGATTACAGATGTGAGCCACCAGGCCTGGCCCCCACCTTAAATTTTTTTTTTTTATTTATTTCTGAGACCAAGTCTCGCTCTGTCGCCTAGGCTGGAATGCAGTGGCAAGATCTCAGCTCACTGCAACCTCTGCCTCCTGGGTTCAAGCAATTCTGCTGCTTCAGTCACCTGAGTAGCTGGGATTATAGGCGCACACCACCTTGCTCAGCTAATTTTTGTATTTTTAGTAAAGACGGGGTTTCACCATGTTGGTCAGGCTGGTCTCAAACTTCCAAAGTGCTGGGATTGCAGCCATGAGCCACCGTGCCCAGCTTAAGTTGTTTCTCTATTTTTTCCCCCCTTGTCTTGTCTCAGTCTTCTTTTCCCCCCGTCTGGTTTGTTTTTTCTAACAATAAAGATTTATTATTGCATTAGGCAGAGACAAGGGGAGAAATTGCTGCTGTGTTTAAGACAGCACTGGTCAAAATAGTACTCCATAATCTAAAGCAGGGATCCCTAACCCCATACCCACTGGTACCAGTCCGCAGCCTATTAGGAACTGGGCCATACAGCAGGAGGTGAGCAAGCATTAATGGCTGAGCTCTGCCTCTACTACCTTATCTGCAGATAAGCTGCTGCATTATATTCTTTTAGGAATATGAACCCTATTGTGAACTGCACATGCAAGGGATCTAGGTTGTGTGATACTTATGAGAATCTAACTAATGTCTGATGATCTGAGATGGAACAATGTCATCCAGAAGCTATCCCCATCACTGACAGTGGAAAAAACTGTGTCTTCCACAAAACTGGTCGCTGGTGCCAAAAGGTTAGGGACAGTTGCTCTAAAGTTATAGCTGTCTCTGCTTTTCCTTAATGTTTTTCCTCCTCCTTTTTGACTTTGAGGAGTTTCTCTGCTATACAATAAGGTATTGACAGATTTATCAACAGCTACACTATTGACATTTCAGTCTGATAATTCTTTGTTTTGAAGAGCTGTCCTATGTATTGTGGGATGTTTAATAACATCTCTGACATCCACCTGCTAGACACTGGAAGCCACCCGTCCACATGTTGTGACAACCAAAAAGGTCTCTAGATATTGACAAATGTCCCTTAGAGGAAAAAACCACCCCTAATTAAGAACTACTGGACTAAGTGATGCAAGTCCCCTCTGAGCTCTTAAGTAGCATAATCTAGGAAAAAATTTGGTACATATTTCAATTAAATTAAGTCACAAACATTATTGCTTTAAGAAATGAGTTTATCAGGATGTCCAAAATGTTGACTCATACATATTTTATGCAAAAAGCATAAAAGTATATAGTTACTCTACTTACTTTAATTCAAAGTAAAATTTTTAAAGTAGCACATTTTTATTTCACTACATATTACTAATACCTAATACAAAGATTACAAAACTGAGGCAAAAATTACTCATAGTAGTTTTGTTTTGTTTTTGAGACATAGTATTACTCTGTCACTCAGGCTGGAGTACAGTGGCACAATCTCAGCTTACTGCAACCTCCGCCTCCTGGGTTCAAGCAATTCTCAAGCTTCAGCCACCTGAGTAGCTGAAATTACAGGCAAGCACCACCACGCCTGGCTAATTATTTGTGTGTGATTTTAGTAGAGACGGGGTTTTGTCATGTTGGCCAGGCTGACCTCAAATTCCTGGCCTCAAATGATCCACTGACCTTGGCCTCTCAAAATGTGAGGATTACAGGTGTGAGCCAATGCACCCGGCCTCAAAGTAGATTTTTAAAAATACCTAAGAAATGCGTCAGGTGAGATCTCTGCTTACACCTAAATAAAACAGTATCTAAATATTAACAAACCTCCATTTACTTGACTTTTCCGTCTTACTCGAGATATCTGTTTGTTAGGTTTTTCTCCTGCTCTTGGTGTTGATGTGATCAAATTGTTATCTATATCACGTTCAATTCTACTCCGTTTTGAAGGATTTTCTCTCTCTTCCTTAAGAGAAAAAAAAAAAAAAAAAAACACACACTAAGCACAGTCATTCTGCCTTACAGGTTATAATATTAAAATGAGAAAACATGGTATAATATACTTTCCTCTGTTTTTCATATACAGGAAAAACAAACTGCAATTACAGGTAGTATCAAATAGTAGTAGAAAACACAGAAAAAATTTGACAGAGTTGTAAGAATATGAATGTAGTTACAATATACAAATATAATTACAGCATCCTCACAATTCAGATCCCTTCCCCCAAGGTCCACTAAGTTTTCCATGCTATCAAAATACTGAATTACAGAATGCTTTCCCTCATTTTTAGAACTGTCCCAAAGAATAGAGATCATTTCCTTAAGTGACTCAGGGTAGGAGAGAGAGGCCCATTGAATGTGCTGGCAAGTCACATATTGCCCAAAAACAGGGGGTGGGGGTGAAGGTGGGGCCTGGCACTGCCATACCCCCTCAGTGCAAAATTTGTATTTTTCAAAGTTGTCTCTAAGATAGGCAATTAAGGGGGAAAATCTTGGTAAGGTGGTGTTCTTAAATCTATGAATCCCCACATAAATACAGAGAACTAAAGAAGCAACAAAAACCCATGGGCAACATTTAAAACAAAACCAGAACACAAGGTATTCCCCACAAACTCGAAAATGCAAGCAGATGAGGACACACCAACAGGCAAAATTCCTAAATGTCCATATACACCAGTGCAAAGGAAAACAGAAGGAAGCAACAAGTGACGTGGCACACCTGAGAACGGAAGCCCCAAACACCTGACAGGTAGGTAGTCACTGGAAACCACAGCAGGCCAAGTTGACAACAGCAAATGAAACAAGGGGAAGGGAAGTTGGGGAGTTGCTGTCCAGTCCAATAGCATAAGAGGTCTATGGTTAGAATTGAAATGACAGGAAGAGACTGCTCCTATGAACTCTTGAAACTGACCAACTCTGGGCCCCGTCTAGAACAGTTTCCATACTGAGGGGGAAGTATTGGGAGTGAAATCAAATGTTGGTAGGGCAGGCACAAAAGAAAGTAAAGAGAAACTCCAAATAAACACACAGTGGAAATAAAAGACAAAACTCAAAAAGCATCACTAATATTTTGAAAACACTACATAAAAACAAAATTTGTTCAAAGAGATACCCTGAACTATAAAAGTTTCTGAAAATTCAGAAAAACTACTTTCACATAAAAATGATCAAGAAAGTGTAGATATAAAAATCCCACACAAAACTATTATGATGAAACACACATGGAGCCAAATAATACCTCTATAAAGAACACATGTAAGAAAAACATGCATAGGGAAAAGATTAAAATTACAATCTTTTATTTCAAAACGAGACAAAATACATCAGAAAAATACGAGGCCAGGTATGGAGGCTCATGCCTGTAATTCTAGCACTTTGGGAGGTTGAGGCAGGAGGATCACTTGAGGCCAGGAGTTTGAGATCAGCCTGGGATACACACCAAGATTCCATTTCTACAGAAAAAATTTAAAAATTAACCAATCATGGTGGCAGGTGCCTACAGTCCCAGCAACTCAAGAGGCTGTGGCAAGAGGATCACTTGAGTATAGGGGTTTAAGGCTGCAGTGAGCCATGACTGTGCCATTGCACTCCAGCCTAGGCAATATAGCAAGATCCTATTTCCAAAAAAAAAAAAGGAAACCAAAAACAAAAAGGAAAGGGAAAGGGAGAGGGAGAGGGAGAGGAAAGGAGAGACATAAGAAGAGGAAAAAAAACTCAGAAACAGAACAAAAGATTTCAAAAATTTTTACAAATCATTTCAGAAATAAAAACTACACTAGAAGGGGCCCAAGACAGAGTAAACATTAGATTCTACCTTTAAAAGAAAGAGGGTAAAATGAACAATTTTGCTTTTTTGAGAGCCAGGGTCTCACTAAGTTGCCCAAACTGGTCTCAAACTCCCAGGTTCAAGCAATCCTCCTGCCTCGGTCTCCTTAGTAGCCGGGACGATAGGTGATGGCCACCACACCTGGCAAGGGAAAAAACGATTTTTTTTTTAAAAGAAATGGAGAAAATGTAAAAGCCAGGACTAACTAACATGTCAATTCAAGACATGTTTTATTTTTTATTTAGACAGTCTCACTCTCACCCAGGCTGGAGTGCACTGAGTAGTGCCATCTCGGCTCCCTGAAACCTCCACCTCCTGGGTTCGAGCAATTCTCCTGCTGCAGCCACCCAAGCAGCTGGGATGACAGGCACTCACCACCACACCCAACTAATTTTTGAATTATTATTAGAGACGGGATTTCGCCATGTTTGTCAGGCTGTTCTTGAACTCCTGACCTGAAGTGATATGCCCACCTTGGCCTACCAAAGTGCTGGGATTACAGGCCTGAGCCACCATGCCTGGCCCAATCCAAGACATATTCTAAATGTAACAACTTAAAAAAAAAAAAAAAAAAAAAAAAAAAGAGAGAGAGAAAAATTATAAAACATTTGACAGAAATGCTTTTCATGCTGGAAGAAAATAGAATAACATCTAAAATGATCAAGATAAAATGTGAGCTAAGGATTTTATATCCAGCAAAACTGATTTTTGAGCATAAAGGGCACTGTTATCAACATGTAAAAACTCAGAATATGGTCCCCATGGGTCTTAATTTTTTTTTTGAGACAGAGTCTGGCTCTTGTCGCTCAGGCAGGAGGGCAGTGGCGCAATCTCTGCTCAACACAACCTCCACCTCCAGGTTCAAGCAATTTTCCTGCCTTAGCCTCCCTAGTAGCTGGGATCACAGGTACCTACCAACACACCTGGCTAATTTTTGTATTTTTCTTTTTCTTTTTTTTTTAGTAGAGATGGGTTTCACTATATTTGCCAGGCTGATCTCAAACTGCTGATCTCAGGTGATCTGCCCACCTCGGCCTCCCAAAGTACTGGGATTACAGGCCTAAGCCACTGCGCTCAGACCCCATGAATCTTTTCTGAGGAATACACTAGAAAAATGAGCTTCAGATAATGATGGGAGGACTAAGCATACACATTAAGTACATCAAACAGATTGAGAATCTGTAGAATTAAGACAAATTTGAATAAAGGATAGCATGTAATGAGTATGTGCTCCAAAAACATAAACATAAAACTAGTGAGAGACACACACTAAATGAATTTCTGCAAGCATTAGATAAACAGTACCAGATAAAATCCTAAATGTATTAAGGTATGAATACTATAATGAAAAATATGCGAATAAACATAAAAGATTTTTGTGTTAAGTGCTTTTTTTGAGGAGGGGAGACAGTTTCACTCTTGTTGCCCAGGCTGAAGTGCAATGGCTCAATCTCAGCTCACTGCAACCTCTGCCTCCTGGGTTCAAGCAATTCTCCTGCCGCAGCCTCCCAAGTAGCTCGGGTTATAGGCATGTACCACCAAACCTGGCTAAGTTTTTGTATTTTTAGTAAAGACAGGGTTTCTCCAAGTTGGTCAGGCTGGTCTCAACTCCCGACCTCAGGTGATTTGCCCACCTTGGCCTCCCAAAATGCTGGGATTACAGGCGTGAGCCACCATGCCCTGCAAGCACTTTTTTTTATTTTTAAATAAAACAAAGTCAGGGTCTTGTCCTGTCACCAAGGCTGGAGTGCAACGCCATGATCTTAGTTCACTGCAGCCTTGACTTCCCAGACTCAAGCCATCCTTCCACCTCAGCCTCCCAGCAAGCATACACCATCAAGTCCAGCTAATTAAAAAAATGTTTTTTGTAGAGATGGAGTTCTGCTGTGTTGCCCAGACTGGTCTGGAACTCCTGAGCCAAAGTGATCCACCCACCTTGCCTTCCCGAAGTGCTGGGATCACAGGTATGAGCCACTATGCCTGGCCCCCTTTCCCTGCCTTTTATTCTTTAAAGACAGGGTCTTGCTCTGTCAACAAGGCTAGAGTGCAGTGGCACAATCTTACCTCACTGTAATCTCTGTCTCCTGGGATCAAATGATCCTCCCACCTCACCCTCTGAAGTAGCTGGGACTCTAGTGTGCAGCATCATGCAATCTCTGTAACTTCATTATGATTTAGTAAATTATTATTTTGCAATTTCTAAATTTTTCTATATAAAGTAATGCATCACATAACAACTGGGGTATGTTTCGAGAAAAACACCTTTAGTGATTCCATCACTGTACAATCATACAGTGTACTTACACAGACCAAGATGATATTGTCTACTATACACCTAGGCTACATGGTATAGCCTACTACTCCTAGGCAACCCACCTGCTCAGCATGCTACTGTACCGAATACCAAATACTGTAGGCAATTATAACAAAATGTTAAGCATTCATGTACCTAAGCATTAAAAAAGTACAGTAAAAATATGGTACTATAAACTTATGGGAACATAAGGTGGTCCATCCTGATCTAAACATCATTACATCATTATGTGGCATATAACGTGTGTGTGTGTGTGTGTGTGTGTGTGTGTGTGTATTTCATATATATATATATCATATGTAATATGAAAACACAGCAAGAGTATTCTAGTTTTGCTTTGCAATAATATATTTATTTAAAATATATGTTTCTAAATTTTACTAAAAGTTATTTCAGAATTTAGCAATATTTTAATATAAAATTTGTAATTTTTAAATAATAATGAATCATTAGATTAAACAGGGAGGTTAGAAGAGTTGTGATTTCAAGCCATTGCTGCACTGCTAAAAAATAAGAAACTCTGGCCAGGTGCAGTGCCTAACGCCTATAATCCCAGCACTTTGGGAGCTGAGGTGGGTGGATCACCTGAGGTGGGGAGTTCGAGACCAGCCTGACCAACATGGAGAAACCCCGTCTCTACTAAAAAATATAAAATTAGCCAGGCATGGTGGCACATGCCTGTAATCCCAGCTACTCGGGAGGCTGAGGCAGGAGAATCACTTGAATCCAGGAGGCAGAGGTTGTGGTGAGCTGAAATCGAGCCATTGCACCCTAGCCTGAGCAACAAGAGTGAAACTCTGCCTCAAAAAAAAAAAAAAAAAAAAAAAAAAAAAAAAAAAAAAAAAAAAAAAAGAAAAGAAACGAAACGAAACTGACATATCAGGATTCTCTGACTCACAAAGCAGAGACTCTATTCCAGAGACTCTAAATGCAACTGTAAATAAGAAATGAAAACATGGCCAAGCACAGTGGCTCACGCCTATAATCCCAGCACTTTGGGAGGCCGAGATGGGCAGATCAGGAGGTCAGGAGATCGAGACCACCCTGGCTAACACAGTGAAATCCCATCTCTACTAAAAAAAAAATTAGCCAGGTGCGGTGGCACGTGCCTACTACTCGTCCCAGCTACTTGGGAGGCTGAGACAGGAGAACCACTTTAACTCAGGAGGCGGAGGTTGCAGTGTGCCAAGATCACATCATTGCACTCTCCAGCCTGGGTGACAGAGTGAGATTCCATCTTAAAAAAACAAACAAACAAGGGCCGGGCGCGGTGGCTCAAGCCTGTAATCCCACCACTTTGGGAGGCCGAGGCGGGTGGATCACGAGGTCAAGAGATCAAGACCATCCTGGTCAACATGGTGAAACCCCGTCTCTACTAAAAATACAAAAAATTAGCTGGGCATGGTGGCGTGTGCCTGTAATCCCAGCGACTCAGGAGGCTGAGGCAGGAGAATTGCCTGAACCCAGGAGACGGAGGTTGCGGTGAGCCGAGATCGCGCCATTGCACTCCAGCCTGGGTAGCAAGAGCGAAACTCCGTCTCAAAAAAAAAAA